ACATGTACGAAATTTCTGTGGTACATCTACCATGGCCAGACGCAAAGAAAAGTCTCTTGGAGCGATGCCTTAAACTCAACAGGAAGTCGGCCATTTCTAATTTTACCGCCATTTTTGGATGATTTACTCATTACGTACTTTAACTAACTCCTCCTAGGGATTTAGTCGGATCGACTTCAAATTTCTGGTGTGCCTTCTAAAGGCATCGACGATGTAAAGTTGTGCTATCTCCGCATTTTCATCGATGGGTGTGTCCGTGGCGTCAATGATTCGCCATGAAAGAGGAAGTTGTAGTAACTTGGCTGTAAATACCCAGATCTGCACCAAATTTTACACATTTGACAAGAGTCCCGCCCTGAAAAAAACTACATGCCGACATTCACCCTAAGTCATAGCGCCACCTGCTGGCAACAGGAAGTGACTTTTAACGAAGCAGCGAACCAAATTCACAGCCGCACCGCCTGAGCCGCAGAATATGCAACGCGGCCGCCTCACACCCCAACGCGCTACAGGTGCGAGGGCCCGCCCATCGCTGCTTGCAGCTTTAATTAAATTTTGTTACTTATAATGTTAGTTGGATTGAATGATCTTTACATCAAAAATTGTCATAATTTAAAGGGTACATATCATGCTTTTAAATCATTCATTTTTACATATAAATCATACTGTTGTGGTCTATATAAAACATAACTGTAATGCTTGGGTCTGAATTCCTCATTAGCTCCACAGGCCCCTTTTCTACCCCTTTTCTGATGTGCGTCTTTGAGCGACCGGTTTCAATGCGTCCCCTTTAAATAAAAAGGAGATGCGTCACACCCCGCCCGCTCTCCAGGTCGATGAGTTCACGGTCAGTTCAACTCCCCACGTTCGGCCATTATTGTAGTTTGATTAGAGATATACGATTATATACGATACCTTCAAAGAACATTTTTATTCACACTTTAATAAAATGTCAACAACAGAAGAGTTGTCCATCAAGCCTTACATATTCGAGCCAGAGCGAGCGAGTTGATAAAGACGACGACGAACCTGCAGAACAACCTCTTCATGTATTGATATGCGAGTTAACTGTTTTGTGTTATTAGTGAAAGTCGACTATTTCTCTTGTTAAAACAAGCACACTGACAAGATAAATGACTACGGTCTAATCTTACCACAAAAAAAATCTGTATTGACAATATGATGCGTTTAGAAAAGCATCAGAAAACAACGCTGCTAAATGACCATTGATGAAACTCAAGAACAATAATACTGCAGACGTGTAACGTTACTTCAAAACAAAAACAAAGAAAGACAAAGGTACTGCTAAACCATGACCACCATGTGTTTTAAGAAAGTAAAGTACTTTATTTTTTTTAACGATATTTACAGCTCATCGAAATGCTCTGTTCGTCGTCTCCAAAGATAGAAGGAATTTACCTCTCATTCAGACGAAGTCAATCGGCAAACCCTTCTTTATACTGGCGGAGGTTGTTGAAGTGGGAATCCTTGAAGTGCTTCAGGTCACTAACGTACATCCAACAACTGAACATTTTGACTTGCCCTCTCGTAACTTCTGCATCATTGAGCTCGGACTACAAAATCGGAGCGAGAAATAATAATGGTGGATTGCTCGAAGTGTTGGACCGGTAGTCAATGTCCTTATTTGTCAGTTCCGCTGCATAGACATAGACAACAGAAAAATCTGAACAGGTTGAAAAATATGACCAAAACAGAATATAAAGATATAAACAAATCACCTGAAGAGAATAATTTCATCTTTTCTGTACTTATAAACACTCCAAATATACAACAAAATGCATTTAAGGGCCAAAAAAGTGGATTTTGCATGATATGTCCCCTTTAAAAATAAAGGCATTTTTCCTAGCCTGATTTTAGCCTCTGATTTGAACACTCTGTTTGAAGGGTGTGTCTGGTGTGAGACTTAAGTGTAAACACCCACTCCTGTGATTGGTTGACATGTTTGCATGTGAAATAGCTAGTATTATGATAGGAACTCTCTCTCGCGATATCTTTTACTACGTTTTTACTATTACAGCTATCGAGATTAACAAAACGTAAAAAGTATTGATCATATATTTAGATCTATTCCATCACATGAAAGGTAGCAGTGAAGAGCAATAAGCAGATGACAGACAGTCTGTCAATCGCGTGAATGCTGTGATCTAATCATTGCAACACAATTTCTGCACTCTCAGGAATGCTTTCACCAAATAACAATGCGAACACGATGTAAATTCAGTAATAGCTCTGTTGTGCAGTGTAACAGCGTCATTGATTTCATAACAAGTTTTGTCAGGTGTCCAGATAAACTCGCACTCTGTGATTGACAGCTTGGGCGATTGGTAAGGGAGCATTCTTTGATTGCTTTCTGTTTTAATTTAATCACAGTTTAAATCCACATTGAAATGCACCAAATAAAAATAATGCACTGCTGAGACATTCACATTGTTGAAAACAAAAACTTTCCTAGCACTAGGATTGTTTAGAAGGTAATGGTATTGATCCTGTGCTGATCTTTTCTCGTTCTCCAAAGATGTGGTGATGTTGATATAGGCATTGATATTATTCTGCAAAGGCAGACTTTCACTGCCCTGTGACGTCACACGTGTCCACTTTTGAGATCCTGTTGTTTTCTGGCCTTGGTTTCAATAAAAGCAGTTTTTGGAATAACAAGGAAGTTTTGAGTTTTGAAACTTACAGGGTACTTTTATAGTATAACGAACTCTTAACTATTAAAAGATCAAAGAAAATTTGAATTCTCAGTTCATGACCCCTTTAACAATTTGATTTATCTGATATCTAAGACATCACTTAACCATCCCACACTCTTAAACCAATGCGCTTGCCCCCAATGCCAATGCCCCCCCCCCCAAAAAAAAAACAAAAAACAAAACAAAACAAAAAAATCCTTGTCTTCTATGCATTTCTTCTCTTCTCCAGTTTTCTCCAATTCTTCCTAATCCAGGTGTCTAATGAATCTGGCCTTGTAAATTGGCTTTATACACAGCTGCACTACTTCCTGAACTTCAGCCAGCTACTTTGTTTCCTGCAGGGCCGGATTGGGGCTCATTTTCAGCCCTGGAGTTTCATGCCTTAGACCGGCCCACTTTAGTTCCCGACTGACTATATTAAAATAATGTAATTAAAACCTCAGTATATAGGCTAAGCAATAGTGCACTGTTCTGTACAGCATTGTAATTCTTTGTATTTTTCAAAAAATATTATTTTCTAATCAGTGCAATAGCCGGGTATGCTCCCCCGGGATTTTTTTTGGGGAAAAATAAACCATTAAATGCACTTTCTGGAGAGTTTTGTGCAAAGAAATATAGAATAAAAGTAGGTCTAGCAAAGTCTTATATTTCTGTAAGTCACACAGAATAAACACAAATATGGCTGAATAGATTGCTAGCTGAGAAACACTGCTTTAATTATTGTAGGCCTATTTATGATGACTTTGTGAAATGTTAACTAAACAGCATGAGCTTCTTCAGCTGGCCAGTAAGGTTATTTGGCAAATTTCATTCTGTAACATACAGATCTGTATAATGCTATTGTTTTTGTCTTACCGAATGTGGTAGCTTTATGCAATTACAGTTTGTCTATAAGCTTTTTTTTTATTTTTGATTAACGCTGACAGTAAAGTGTTGCCAGATATTGCTGCGAAAAAGAAGCAAAACAAAATAATAATAATCCGAAATTAGTTAATAGCTTGTGTTTTGGAAATAAGATTAATATATCACTAACCCTAACATGCAACTTTCCAATAACTTTTTAAAGTGTCACATTAAATCAGAAAAACAGGTCCAGGAAATTACTGCACCTTTCCATTACGTGGATCTGGCAACACGGATGCTGCACTTGCGCTCTCATTCACAACGCGCTGTTCACTGCGCTAGCTTCTCACAGCAACATGAATTGGAAACACTCATGTGAGGTGATTTAAACATGCCTAATTAATCATTCAAAGAGCATGACATTTTATTTTCGAATGTAAAAAAATGACAGAGGTCGAAACCTCGGTTACCTCAAATCTGTGTTAAATAGGAATCCATTGTAATAAAGTTATTCTCATTCTGGGCACAGTATGCAATAGGCAATGCTCTTCCTGCTTCTCCTTCTCCCTTCTTCTCTCAGTCTCTTTATCTTTACCTGTAAATCTCCCCTTCCCGAAGCTGAGCTTTGATTGATAGTCTTTGCAATCTGATTATTTATGTCGGTCGTTTAAAACTTCTATCGTAAAACAGCTGTTTAGTTTAGCCTTGCATCTTATTATCTTGGGAAGCGTCGCGTTGGGATTCGTGGTGCGTGGCTCGCGCTTCTGTGGAAATAAATCCTGCTTTGATCGGTCATCTCAAACATTTTGCCATTGCCGACGTGCGGCGTTTGAGTGCTGATGATGAGGTTGGTTCTCGTTGCAATGGTGGTGGGTACGGCCCTGACTCGTAAGCGCTACTATTGTCCATGTTTCGTATCTCTCTTTTTTTTTTTTTCCGCACATCTCTAGCAGCTGACTTTTTTTTGTGGGGCTGCGAGAAAATAATAATAAAAATAGTGGGGCTACGCTGTGACTGGAGCCTATTTAACACATTCACCCAGTGCCGTCGTGACAACGCCGGCCCTCCTAGCCAATAAAACAGACCGGCCCACCGGGAATTCTCCCGGTGCTCCCGATTAGCCATTCCGGGCCTGGTTTCCTGTCTGCCATTATTGAACAAACTGATTAATCCAGGTGTGCCTGATTATTGTTGTCATCCACACCTGGATTAATCAGTTTGGCCAATAATGGCAGACAGGAAACAAAGGAGCTGGCTGAAGTTCAGGAAGTAGTGTAGCTGTGCATAAAGCCCATTACAAATATTGTTGGCTCTTGTCCAAATTGCTTTTGTCCCCCTTTTGTAAGTCACTTTGGCTAAAAGTGCCTGCTAAATGCATAAATGTAAAGACAGTATTAGGTCAGCATGTTTAATTAATGTATGTCTGAATTGTTTCTTGTCCAGGTTTGCATCAAGGTTAATTGCAGGAGTGTTGGACTTTAAAGCTGACGTGGACAGGTATCTATGGACAACATTACTGTACAGTGGCGGATTTACACATTTATGTCCAAAAACCTGTGCTAATTTAATCATTAACATTAATCATTGAATGCATGTTTCAGTCAAGCAGTGCCAAACACCAGGGAATAATATCTTGCTATTATTTCATATCAATCTGTTGCTGTCGGTACATCAACAGGATTTTCTTTCTCTTTTGTTCCTGATTTCTTTCCACTTGTCCTCTCTTGCTCTCTCTTGCTGTATTTATTCCATCATCCAGTGGGAAGCTAGTGGTAGAGTATATGCGTGGACAGCCGCTATGTATGGAATTGTTTCCTCAGTTGTTCTCCTCCTGTCGAATCCCGGGACCCAAACATGACCATGTGGTTCATTATGGACGTCCACGCCGTGGCCCAGCTCACATTACTGTGGTCAGGAACTACCAGGTAAATTAGATTTTAATGCAATCCACAAAATTCATAAACGAGAACGGACCAAGAAAATCTGAAACATGGGTTTATATAAACAGGAGTAGAACAAATGTTTTTTTTTTTTATTGGCATATTTATATAACATCAACAAAAGGCTTCCACAGATTCACACATATTATACCACAATATACATAATATTCCCATCAGTAGGCTAAGTAAATTTAAGCAAAGGTAGAACCATCAAAAGTAATACTAATTATAATCAATAATACAAAAATAGAAATAAAACAAATGAACAAATCGTTTAAAAAAATAGTAGGTAGGCCGGGAGCCAGGTCCACTCCTCAGGATGTTTTTTATTACCTTTTTTTGACTATTATTTCCTATTATCTTACACCTTGGGCCATCACAAGTTGATAATGACCACCCCCAACTCGGCCCTGTTTGGCCTCAGGGGCCAAAAAACACCCTTTTGGGGAAAAGCTTTTGGCGGCATTATGTAATTGTGAATATTAAGGACGCACGAGCCCGAGTATAGGCTACTTTTTTTTGTCTCGTTGCAGTCCCTTTCGTAGCGCGCACCGCCTTGTGAACAGCGTCTCTTGCGCAGGTTTTTGTGTTTTTAATAGCCATTTTTTGATCTTGCAACAGTAGAAGACAACATTTTGCAACAATCGCTGATCGTGCTGATTCTGATGGTTACGTTTGGGTTTTAGGAAGAACTGACAGCGCTCCGCAGTGCTGTGAAGTAAAGGAAGTTAAGCTGGACAGATCGTCTAGTTTTTTTAATGGTTTTATCTCAAATATCTTCTTTTTATAATCTTTGGAAGCCAAAATACAAAATATATTAGAATAATATCCCAGATCTAAAGTGTAACCATGTTGAATGTTTCGTTCTGTCCTCATTGTCACTCATTAAGCAAGGGCTGTCGTGTTGCGCGTGCTGTGGATTTGCGTGAGATCGCTCTCTCTCTTCTCTCTCTCTCTTCTGAACTGCGAATTGTAAATTTGCATCACAGACTATGGTTTAATTAAAATATAGTTTATATATAGAAATGGCTAAACATGTTCAAGATAACTTCTTTATAGGAATAATAAATAGTAGCCCAACTTACGTGTATTTACTTAATTTCTCCAGTACCGACAGCAGAACCGATAACGTCCGAGCTTATCGATACAGCGGTCTTTCAAAATTCAGTACCGGGGCCCGTTTAATACCGGGTTTCGGTACCCATCCCTAGTAAAGCGGTTGCCGCTGCTCTCGTGACTTCTCTTGTAGTTGTCGGACAGCAAATATCAGATCAGTGGTTGATCGCTGTGGTCGGAACCCGCACTGCGATTCTGGATATGCATCTTCAGCGATTTCCTGCAAACGTTTCAGTAGAATACTAGCAAGTACTTTGCCAGTGACAGACAGCAATGCAATACCTCGATAATTGTTACAGTCACCACGATCACCTTTGTTCTTATAAAGAGTGGTGATCGTTGCATCTTTGAAATCTTGTGGCACTTGTTTGGCATGCCAGCATTTCAGAATGAGTTGATGAAGATGACTGGCTAATGGGATTAGACCCGCTTGTAGCAGCTCACTTGGTATCTCATCTGCACCTGGTGCCTTTCCTTTTTTCATACTTTCAATGGTGGATAACACCTCCGCAATGTCAGGTTCATCATCAAGGTGATTATGGATTTGAGATTGAGGGAGGTTTAAGAGAGTTTGACGGCAAGCGTTTCCCTCTGCTCCATATAGCTCGTTGTAGTGCTCTATCCATCTTTTAAGCTTCTCCATCTGATCATCTATAGTAGATCCGTCTTTCTTCTTTAAGACACTACAGGTTTGAGATGTGGGTCCTGTTGCAGTCTTGATTGCTGCAAACATTTCCTTGAGATTTCCAGAGTCTCTAGCAGCTTCTATTCTAGAGCAGAGGGAATTCCAGAATACCTGGACACACTTCCGGACAGTTGCCTGGGCAGTTGATCTGGCTGCGCGATAGTTTTCCTGAGCTTGACGAGTGGGTCTTGACTTCAAACGAGCTAGTGCTTTCCTCTTTTCCTCTAACACAGGTTGTATTGTGTCAATTGCTGATTTGTACCAGTCTGGATCTTGAAGTTTTCTTCTTCCGAAAGTCTTAACCGTTAACGCGGGTCATGCACAGTATTTCTCAGCGAGTCCCAGTATGAGTCAGGGTCAGATTCTTTATCTATGGACTTCAGGCCATCCTCAAGTTTCTTACAGTACTCCTCTTTGAGAGCAGGTATGCATGTTTTTGTTACATCAATTTTCTTGGAATGTTTAACCTGGCGATAGTAGGGCCTTGGCTGCAGCTGCATTGTAGACACAACTAGACTATGGTCTGTGTCACAGTCTGCACTATGGTAGGTGCGTGTGTTGAGCACCTCCTTTCTCTGCTTCTGTCTTACTATGATAAAGTCCAGCTGATGCCAAGAATTTGATCTTGGGTGACACCATGTCATTTTACAATGTCTCTTCGCTGGAAAGATGGTATTTGTGATACACAGATTATTTCTACAGCAGAGCTCTAATAAGTGTTGACTATTTTCGTTCATTCGACCGACACCAAACTTCCCGATACAGTCAGGCCAGGCTTGATGGTCATCTCCAACTCGAGCATTTAGAGGCGCTTTTCCACTGCATAGTACGGTACGGTTCGGTTCGGTACGTCTCACTTGTGGTGCTTTTCCACTGCATGGTACGGTACAGTACGGTTCGCTTCAGGTCGCTTTAAATGGTACCTGGTCTGTTGAGGTTCCAAGCGTACCGTACCGGTACTAAAATGTGACGTGAAACACTGCAGATCACTGATTGGTCAGACAGAATCGTCACTACCAGCGTCACTACTAGCGTCATTGGATTTGTGACACGAGACACGAGACACTTTTTTAGCAGTATTTTTGTTTTGCTGCCTTCAGCCTCATTTTAAACACATTTTTCCGTCTAGCAGTTAAAAACAACCACATAACGAGAATCAGGAACACCATCCCCTCCAAGGTCTCCATTGTTCCTGTTTTGTGGGTTTGAAAATGTGGCGCTTTTAAGATGATGTCATGGCAGTAGAGGCGCGCGCAAATAACGATCAGTCCCACACACTTTGAAGGGGTACTACTGCAGTGGAAACGAAAAGCGATCCGAACTGTTCCGCGCCGAGTCGAAGCGTACTGAGCCGAACCGTACCGTATTATGCAGTGAAAAAGCGCCATAAGTCTCCTAAGAGCACAACACGTTCAGAGTCGGACGAGGGGTCCAAAACACTCTCAAGGTCGTAATAGAAGTGATCCTTGACAGTAGGTTCAGCAGCCAGCGTTGGAGCATAAGCAGAGATGATTTTGATGGTGCCCTGTCGTGTATTGAGCTTCATGACTGAGATTCTGTCACTAACAGCAACTGGTGTCTGTATGCTGTTAACTATGGTATTTTTGACAGCAAAACCTGTGCCATAGAGACGTGGTTCATCAGCAGGCTTTCCAAACCAGAAGAAAGTGAAATTCCTCTCCTTGATGGTACCTGCACTAGTGTTGGGCGATATGCTCCATTTTCATATCGTCCTATCGTCAGCCTGTGAGATCGGCGATACACGATATTATCGTGAGGGGGCGGGGCTAACTTATTTGATTATTAACTTGATTATTTAGCATACTCATTAATTTGCTTGTTTTATTAGCCTACTTCGTTTTATAAACGAGAATCTTTTTTTCTATTTTGCTAGCAAAGGTGGAGTGTTTAGTAATAGGATCAGGTTATTTCCTGGTATAGTGAGGTAAAAAAAGATCCTAATACTTTTGTTTGTCAACGGGAAATTTACGGACACATTAGCCTATCCTCATGCCGTTACATGCTGCATTTTGACTAGGGCCTATTTCTGCACGAGATGAAAACACGTTTATTTCTTGGGTCAGAAAGAGTCGGAGTTTGCGATATGTGTCCCCCTACCATTGCGCTCTCTGTCTGGATGCACTTCACATGCGCACTTCAGTAAGCACGAAGTACGCGGGTTAATGTGTTTTAAATGCCGGGAGAAACCAAGGGCCAAACGTCTAGCTGAGTCGATCGGTTTATACTTATACTTATGACTTGACTCTGATAAAGGAAAACGGGTTAATGCGTTTACATGACCACATGCATTGTCAAGTTAATTCAGCATAATTGGGTTTAAGAACGTCGTCGCATGTAAACGCGCTCAATCTCTGAAAGTGAAAGTAAAAACGGACTGCTTTCGGCATCTGCATTAACGCCGCGTTCCCTCAGAGACGACGATGATAACGGTAAATAATACTATTTTAGTGATATTATTATTAATACTATTTAGTAATTGTATTGTTTTAGTGTCATTAAACGTTTTGTTAATGTGTTACTGAAACAAATACTGACGGTGCTGTTTTCATCTTAATCTGTAGGAAATTGAATTTTGCGTCTGTTAAAACGAGCACACTTGATAATTTGTGAATGGATCAACTTGCAATTCAATTTTGATGTGGGATGTTTTTTAGTCTGTTTTAAAAACATTCTCTTAGAGGTGTCCTTAGTGCGTGTCGGTATTGTTGCAATTGTTAGGATGATTGTAAATTTAGGCAAGGCAAATTAATTGTAGTTCCTATTAATTTAATAACAATACTAGTTTTATAATAATAATAATAATAGGCATAATAATAATAATTTAATACATTATGGTAAAACGAGCCAATTATCGTATTGATATCGTCAAAGGCATCTGCCATCGGCGATATCTCAGACTATCGTCGATACACGATACTATCGTCTATCGGCACAACCCTAACCTGCACCCGCAAGTCGGGTTTCCTGCAGGGCAGCAATATGTACATTTCGCTTGGAAAGTTCAGTGTCAATGACAGCTGTTTTCCTAGCGCATGTTGTCTCAGGGTCAAGGTCGTTGTCAGTGGGCATTCCGGTCATCATCGTTCGGACGTTCCAGGTAGAAAATAGTAGTTTTGTTGTTTGAGGTGATTGTTTCAAACTAATCAGACCACCTCATCTGATTGTTCGTTGGTGAGTGGAGCACCTTATTGGCCGGGGGCTGCCCAGCTTCAGCGGGCGGTAGCTTCCATGAGGTTTGAGAACCCCTCCCACTCTAGAACAAGGTCCCTGGCGCCTGAATGTTCTTACCATCATTTAGACTTATAACCGGTAACTACCTCGTTCTGGGTATTGTTTTCTGTAAGAGTGAGTTACAGGTGCAGGTTTCCTCTGCGCGTGTCGACGATTCAAGTTTGGTCACTGTGAACTTGCCGCCAGGACTTTAAAGCTACCCTGGGTGGTCCTATCACTTGTCAGGGGCTTCTCTCGCCCGGAGCTCACGTAATCAGAGGAAAGGCATAGCCAATACGTCTGCAAGAGTGCCCGGGTGCAGGGGAATGCCAAAAGTAGAAAGCAATGCTCAGTACAATTGCCTTGATGGGATCCCAGCTCCATTTTGTGTATGGCTGTTGACTCCGAAGAGTTCATCCGCCCTTGAAGGCAAGTCTTACTTTTAATCTTGCCAGGGTGTACACCCACCCTCCTCATTCCCTATACAGGGCCATGGGGGTTCCGGATTAGTCGCCGGAAACTCGACCATGAAACAGGTAGTACTGGGTTACATGGTACCAGTAGCAGGTTTCGCGACCTGACCTGACATGCACCAACAGCAACATTACACACTATTTAAAATGAAAAAAGTGAAATCACACTCAACCCCCCCCCCCCCTTTAAATAAAAAAAAGTTTCGGTAACACTTTATTTGAAGGGGTGTGCATAAGACTGACATGACGCTGTCATAAACATGACATAACACCTGTCATGAACATGGAGTCTTTATGAATGTTTATGACTGTTATCATTAGGTGTCATTCGGTAAATTATGACACTTTTAATGCAAAGTTGACATTGTTTAAAATGTCTTTGTTATGACAACTTGACATTAACCAAGAAATCATAACCTGTCACAAATATGTCATAGCAGGTCTAATTATCGAACTTAAAGAAGTTATTTAGCTTTGTGTTAACATTACATTACCCTGTCATATGTTGGTTTTAACTTTGGTTGTCATGACACCATTATAACTGTGACATGAATATTTTACTTGTCCTCAAGTAAAGTGGAACACTTTGTACTAGTTATAAAGATGTCTTTAAGGGTTATTACTCTGTCAAATGCTTTAACAACAGTGTCATTAATATTTCCCCTTACCTCAAGTAAAGTGGAACACGTTGGACTAGTTATGATTTCTTGGTTAATGTCAAGTTGTCATAACAAAGACATTTCTGTCTTGGTCAATGTCAAGTTGTCATAATCAAGAAATTTTTGTCTTTGTTCATGTCAAGTTGTCTTAACAAAGACATTTTAAACAATGTCAACTTTGCATTAAAAGTGTCATAATTTACCGAATGACAGTTAATGACAACAGTCATAAACATTCATAAAGACTCCTTCATGTTCATGACAGGTGTTATGTCATGTTTATGACAGTGTCATGTCAGAAATACTAGGCTACAGGAACTGAATAAAGTAAGCCAATATAAAATAACACTGGATAGTCTGTTTAGTCCAGACTGAATTAAATACATAGGCTATTAATTCTGATTGCTTAAAATAAATGCTATATTATGTTGTTATGACAACAGAATTAATGACCGAGACATATGGCTGCGTTCACTTTAAGAACTAGTGCACAAATTCACTGTCCCATTATAGTACTGTCTGTCTGTCACACGTGTTATAATGCTTATTTAAGACATAACCGACTGTCTTTACGAGGTTACTCACCAAGACCAGAGTTTTGACATCAGTTCGCATGTTTTTAACTGTTAAAGTGATATAATCAAGGGATAACTTTTGTTTCTGGCGAGCTGTTTGTGAGGCGGATTTAGGCTTTACTGTATGTGCACGCAGTGAAAGACATCTCTGAGAATGCGCGAGAACGGGATGGTTTAACATTGCTTGAATGTTTAAACTGGTAAAACTTAAAAAGACGTTTAAATGATAAACGTTAGTTATGATGCAATGCTGCCCCAATTGTAAAAGTGAATATTCCGTCATGTCCCGACCCCTTAACGCGAGTGTGAGACACAGCACCGCCCGGCGCCCGCCCTGAATATGGAAAAAATCGATTCGTGGCCGTTGAGAATCGATTTTGAATTGACCACATTTTAAAAAAACAATTAACCGAAAAATCTATTTTTTTTTTTGCCCAGCCCAGAGTCTTTTTTGTAGGCATTAAACTTCCTGATTTTTAAAAGACGATATCTCTGCTTACATTGAACTTTAAGCGCTGCATCTTTGCAGATACTGTTCATGCACCAACAGCAACATTACACACTATTTAAAATGAAAAAATTGAAATCCCAATCAACCCCCCCATTATTTTTATGAATAAAAATGTTTCAAATCATCCCCCACTCTGTATTTTTCACAAATCGCACCCTGGTTTTAAGGATTACAAACATGTTATGAATGGATTCTTAAAGCCTCTATTTGGATCCGCATCCAAAATGTCATAATGAATTCGGTCCAGGCCTAAACATTAGGGATTAGTCTAAAGCCCAAAGTATACTTTGTTTGTAGTAGACATGAATGTGTTTATGTGTTTGTTCATGATCCTGGTGAGTTATTGGTCACAGGATTATAAGAATATTTTTTAAAAAAAAATTGGTTTCATGTAATAAATCATGTTGTAATTTAAAAGTACACTGTTTCTTTTTTGGGAAAAACAAACAAACATACAAATCTTAGTGATTACAAACATGTAAGTGGTTGTGTGTGTGTGTGTAGTTTTTCCAGTTGGATGTTTACAACAGTGATGGAACACCATTGACAGAAAGTCAGATCCACGCTCAGCTGTTGCGAATCCGCTCTCAGTCATGGAAAACCGACAAGGAACCAATGGGAATTTTGACCAGCGAGCATCGTCACACATGGGGTCAGGCTTATACTCGCTTGCTCAGAGGTATATCTGTCCTGCACACTAAACTACTATTTAACACAATAATTTTTTTTTCTCTAATTTGCATCTAACTGCAAGGTTCAGAAAACATTTGTTAGAAAAATTTTGAGAACATGTTGTGGTTGTTTACTGCTTAAATATAGTGTAAAAAAATAAAGTAGTGTTTTTAATGATCCTAGCAAGAGTGATGCACAAAAGTGTTGTTATATACAACGTGAGGTCACTCTTTGCCTCTGCACGTATGGCCCATGTGGCTTACAGGCAGATTTAATTTCACTCTTTACCATCTAGCTGCATAGTTCCACTGTCAAGAATTTTATGTTTGAGTTTAAGCTTTTTTTTGCTTTTGCCCCGCCCCTCTATAGATAAAATCAATAAAGAATCTGTGAGGCTGATAGAGAAATCGATCTTTACGTTGTGTTTGGACTCTCCAGTTATGAGGATTTCTGATGAGAAGTAAGAATGGTGTTTAAATTTATTTGTGATTGAACAATTACTAGAGATGAGCAGTGTATTTTCTTTTTAATGATTTTAACAATGTTGTTTACATCTTTATCGGTGATGGTTTGATTTGATGCCAAGAATGTTCATTGATTGGCAGGTATTCTAGTCGAATGGCAGCACAGATTTTGCATGGCGGTGGGACTTATTCAAACAGTGGCAATCGCTGGTTTGACAAGACACTACAGGTGACCTAAATGTCAGAGGCCTATTCTTAATGTTCTGTCATTTAAACTAGGTCTGTCAAAGTGATGATACACTGTAACTTTTTTTTAACAATGATGCTGAGCGATGCTGCTTGGGCGCTTTCCCATTTGAGAATGAGCAACAAAATTTTATCTGGATACTTTAGATCGGCCGTGGACCCTGTGTCTCACCTAGTTGCCCCTTGGCGGCAACATTGCCCAGCAACATTGCTCGAAAGGTTGCCCTGTGTATCATCACCTTCAGAGTTGATGTATACAATTGGCTTTATGCCCAGCTGCACTACTTCCTGAACTTCAGCCAGCTCCCTGTTTCCTGTCTGCCATTATTCGCCAAATTGATTAATTCAGGTGTGTCTGATTATTGTTGCCATGACTACTGAGGTCAGGTACACCTGAATTAATCAATTTGGCCAATAATGGCAGACAGGAAACAAGGAGCTGGCTGAAGTTCAGGAAGTAGTTCAGCTGGGCATAAAGCCCATTGATTATGTTTAACTTAAATAAGTAACTTGAGCTGCCGCTTTTAAGTCCCCCAATTAATAATAAAAAACAAATTAAATAACTATCTTGACATGATGACTTGATAATTCTGTTATGTATTTTTTGTTTTTAATTAGAGGCTTCAGAGCAGCAGCTCAGTGTTGTCCCTTATGTACACATACACAAAAGTTGCTATAATAGAGCTCACGTTTATGAGTAAATGGAGAATTACCCTTTTTTTCAGGTAATGTATCCATAAATCAAACCCTGATGGGATGTTAAACAATGTTATTTGTGTATGGTAATTTGTGAAAAATATTTATTAGAAAATCAACAAGTGAAATTCCATCATTCATCATAGAAATGTTAATGTTGAAGACTAGTGGTGGATTGCATCTTTACACTTCCATAAAGTAAGATCCATAAAGTTGTGTTTTTATTGAATAATATTAAATATATTGTTGTAGTATTATTAAATTGTTAAATAAAAAGTGATTTTGCAGTGCTGCGAGTGTCATCCACGCAAATTACCAAAAGTAATTAAGACATGGGCTTATGTTTTCTTGGAACTGAATTCATTAATGCATTAACTACAACAAAATCCCTATTAATTAAATTTTAGACATTTTAAAGTACTTTAAGCGATTTGATTTTCATTGTTAATCTATTTGGGTTTTTTTCTCCCTGTTTCTTTCTCTGTTTTGTATGTTCAGTTTGTTGTCGGTGAGGATGGGTCTTGGGGTCTCTTGTACGAACATGCGACAGCCGAGGGTCCACCTATAGCCACATTGTTGGATCATGTGCTAAAATACTGGTATTTACAAACCCATGCATGCCTTAAAGAAAGGCAAAAACACACAGATACAAACTCTTCTATCATTTATTATCTCTGCATTGCGTTAATACTACTGATAAAGGCGGTGTCTCAAGCCAATTTGTTTTTTGACGTCCGTCCGTTTTTGAATGTACAGTAGGTAGACAACCAGAATGTGTTTTTTACCGCCGCCAGTTTGCCGCGGCGGTAAAAGTTGAGGTGTAGTTGCTGCCTTTGGCCGCTAAGAGGCGCAACAATCACAGACTTTGAAAAGTGTCCGTTTTTTGTGTAATCTTCAACTGCGCCGCGGCTCTTTCAGAGCGATTGAAAGATGGTAACAGATTAATTCAAGTGAAACGTAGTTAAATTAATTAATTAATCACAATACTGAAATTAAATTGAAAAAATAATGAAACCTTAAAACATTGCAGTCAAAACATATTAGGCTACATCAATGAGGCTTTACAATTGTATAAGACGACAGCGCATTAGAAGTTCAGCGATAGCTGTGTGGTTAACGCATCATCCTCAACCTCATATACCTCCAAACGACGCAAGATCGAACCTCGTTACATGCTCTTGGCCGACAGCTTTTATGTTTATCCTACCGTTCTTGAAGCTTAAATAGGTAGCTTTTGCAATCCGTTCCCTTAATTTATAAACTGTAGGCTACTCACGGATTCTTAAACTGTTCCCTCGGTTTAACAATTCGTGCCCACGGATTAATAAACCGTAGCCACGAGTTCCTAATCCCTGCTCTCAGATTTGTAAACCGTGCCCTCAGTTTTAGAAATATGTACCCACAAATTCAGAAACCGTGCCCACGCTTTCGCAATCCGTAGGCTACTTACGGGTGTGTAATCCGGACTCGCGGATTTGTGGCTCGTCCCCGAGAATGTGCCGCATGATTCAACCAGGCCTCCTGTTTAGATGCGGGATGCATTGTTTTTAAAAGGACTTCACTTACAAAAAAATAAATAAATAAATATAGCCTAAGACAAACACAAAGTTATAGGTCTATAAAAATAAAACATTCACAAATTGTTTTACATATTCTCCTGTCTTAAGTGAACTCATTTAAAGTTATAAACGCAAATAATAGGCCTAATAATAATATGCTATTATTATTACATTTAGGCTACATATTTAGATATAAGACGCTTTTATAAAAAAAAAGAAACAAAGCAATTCGTCAAATCATAATAGGCCTACTGGTTAGACAATAATAAAACAGGGCTGAGATGATCACAAATAGGCCTAAACACAAGATTTTGACGAATAGGCTGACTTTTTGCCTTTATTAAACATTTAAAATATTCGCAAATTAATATGAAAAAAAAAATAGATTTTGCTTTCTAAACTATATTTTGCCCGCAGTGCTAAATGAGAAGAGCATGTGAGAGATGGTTTATAGGTGATTTATAGGCTTGTGTCTGAAAAATAACGATCGACGTTTTCTTGTTATTGTGAGTTTACACAAATAAAAGTAGTTGCAAATAATGTATTATGTATAATGTATTTTTTTTTCCGTATGACCAGAAATGCTAGATTATTTTGAATTGTTCCACTGTTGATAGGAACATGCAAGTGTTTGCGGCCGCGGCAGTGACATGCACACAAACAGTTGGATATACGTTAAAACCTGTGTTTGTTTGTTAGAATCGTAGCCTATTATTATTGTCTAAGACTGACATTTGACGAATTGCTTTGTTCTTTTTTGTGGATAAAAGCGTCTTGTAAATAGGCCTGTAGCCTAAATGCATTTTTATTTGCATTACTACTATGAATAGGGTTGGGAATCGTGAGAAATTTTCCGGTTCCGATTCCGGTTCCGCCAAACGATTCCGGTTCCGGTTCCGGTTCCCATTCAATTAAAAATATTAGTAAGAGAAAAATCCACAATCCTTTTTGTGTTTATTTCTTATAGTACTTGACAAATTAGTTTAACAGACTGATAATGTAAACAAACTCAAAATATTATTAAGCAATCTTTGCAAAAAAAAATTGTATATATATATATATATATAAAGGAAATAAAAAAATTCTGCATTCTCTATAATAATTTAGACCTCTCCTTTATTGTATCTCCAACAGTGAAAAATACCCTCTCAGAAGGAGTAGAATATGCTTTAACACACATATGTGTGTAGAACAGATTATTTTTTAAAACGGTTTGAATGATTGATTCATTAAGACTTTACTTATTTCATTACTGGATAAATCGGCGCTCTAGCAGTTAATAAACAGAACTGCATGCGTCTTGCGGAAGAACATTGTTGCCGGAGCTACTTCTCTCTGTTTATGTCCATGACGAGTCACGCAGGCATTGGGCTACAGCAGCTGCGATCCGCCGGCCAGTCTAAACAAGAAGTCCGAGTATTAACGCTTATTACAGGCTTTACGTAGTGATTTAAGATAAGACAAAAACACGGTTTGAAAAAAAAAAAACATTATGATGCACTCGCTCATTGTATATATTTTGTAAATTCTGAACACAAAAAATATACGGACTGCATCTGTTTTGACCACTAACGTTACCGTCATTGTTTACTCAAACTATAATCTCACTAATTCTGTAACGGAAATCATTTGAATATGTGAAACAAATAAATATTGAGACTGTGATTGTAAAGCAGTTTCATATCGACAACTGCTCTCTCTCTCTCAGCGCAAACAGATTTGAATGTAGGCTAGAGAGTGACTCGCGGTCGGCGCGCGCAGCGTGCTTGTGTCTGTGTGTGACAAATGCAGCGCGTGTGAGAGCAAATCGCAACTTCAGTGGTGAAGTTTTTGTCATTTAGGAATAAGACGGCGTCTTCTACTCCCAGCACTTCGCCCACATGATGATATCGCATCGGCATCAGAACCGTTTTCGGAACCGAAACTTAGGAATTTTGCACGGTTCCGGTATTATTTCAAAAACACAACCGGTTCTGGAAAAGAACCGGTTCTCGGTTCCCAACCCTAACTATGAATGAGTTCACCGACGACAGTAATATATTTAACATAAAATAATTTATAACTTATAACCAAACCTTTTACAGTTTTTGAACTGTGTTATTATTATTATTATTATTATTATTATTATTTTCGCTTATTATAGTACTGAGCTCTTTCCTCTAAAAATTTACTTAAAGATAAAAGTATCCTAAATGTATTTATTTTTTTAAATGCAAGAAATTATCCATTTTAAAAAAGGATTTTAAAAACAATGCAATGCATCCCGCATCTAAACAGGAGGCCTAGTTGAATCATGCGGCACACTCTAGGGGACGAGCCACAAACCCGTGAGTCCGGATTACAAACCCATAAGGATTGCGAAAGCGTGGGCACGGTTTATGAATTTGTGGGTACAGATTGCAAAAACTGAGGGCACGGTTTACAAATCTGAGAGCACGGATTAGGAACTCGTGGGTACGGTTTATTAATCCGTTGTGATAAAGTGCAGTTATGTTTCTAAGTTAGTGTTTTTGGAGCAACTGAATGCCTTCAAACAAAAGCTACCGAGGAATCGTCAAGAAAAGTAAAGGCCAGTTTTAAAGTTTTACAAAAAATAAACCATGTTCAATTTGTAGCCTATATTGTTCTTGAATTGTTCGAAGAAAAAAAGGACATACTAAAAACGCCAGCTTAATCTCAGGAGCTGCTTTGATTACGCTCATGGCGTTTAAAAAAACGCGGCGCTCCCATTGAAAACAATTGAAAACACGCCAGGCGTGTGGAAAAACGCTTTGGTGGACACACAGGCTTTCAAGTGGGGGAGGGCGCATATTTGCATTTGAATGTTGTGTTACATTCTAAAACATTTAACGTGTGACGCACACACACAACTGCACATGCACACACACAGGGCTTACATTCTGTTTGATTGTGTTATTGTTGCAAACATGCTGCTCTAAACTAAACTAGTGTTATCTGTCTGTCAGCAGCAAAGATAAAGTTGATAATGCTGACTCGCCTTCACAGTGAACGCGCATAGGCCTAAACGCATTCGAATTAGCCTACTTACGCAGAGAGTTGCCAATTTATTTTCGTTTTTAAATGTTTTGTTTAAAAGTAGACATTTAAAGCTTTCTAGTTCATATCGCGCCTCTGTGTCCTGATTATATTGTCCGATATTTACTTCTAATGTGTTAATCCAGTCAATTTGTTGATGAAACATTTATTACAATGAAGATAGAATTTATCCGAAACGAAATTTACAAGCTTTCTACAAAACAAAACTTAATTGGTGGTCAAAATCATGTCTGACCCACTCAAATATTTTCCGATATATTGGGTAGCTTTTGATCCTATCTTACTCATCTCATGCGGTTCACTTTTTATATAGCCTCAACATAGACAAAATAATAAAAATAAGTAACATAATATTATTAAACATAAATGTGAAACGTAGCCTATGTTTTTTTTTTTTTTTTACTTATATTTAAGCGTCACGCCGCTCCGCTTTGCTCACATTCTATGTAGCCTATACAGTACATGCATGTGTGTGTGTGCATGTGCTGGAGGGGGGCCCATCCCTACTTTTGAATATCATTATCATTATTGATCATTTAATAATTAGTTTTTTTCATGCAGAAATTATACTATTTTTTTCAGGTTTGACACTTTACTAAAAATGACTCTGAATGTAGGCTATTACTAAATAACTTTACATAACATTACTATCATTACTTTTTTCAGGTTGTTTTACTAAATTTAATTTATATTAATTTATAGCATGAGCCCCTGATTATGTTGCATGTTCTCTTGTTTTTTTTTTTCTTCTTTTCTTTTAAAGACAAACCTTATTTTTACAAAAAAAAATTGATGGATTTATATAGCGTTTTGAAAAAAAAAAACTTTTAATTTATCATTAACAATATTGTTGTTTGATTTAATAGTCATTGTTCAACATGTTCAGACTGAACCAATAAAACATTTAATTTGAATATTCACAAAATGTGTGGGTCTTGGTAAAAAATGTAGTTTTCCTGAAAACTATTGAAATGGATTTATAG